CATATACAGTGAAGCAGTTAAAGCTCTTCCCTCCAGCTTTACCCTGAGAAAGCGGTTTTTAGAGATCTTGAAATCTATCAACTTGGCTAAATCTGGGGAAATGCGTGAGGAAGTACTAAGTGACATGAAGAGAGACTTCTCAACAGAACCAGAGTATTGGGATTGGCTTGCTAAATTTGATTACAATCCTGCAAGTACACAGGAAGAGACGGGTGAAGAAATAACATTTTCTTGTATGGGAAAAGCTATTCAGGTATTAAATGCATGTATTACTGATTAAATCCTGCACTTTTAAAGCCGTTTATTTAGTCTTCTATTGAGTAATTGGTTAACATCTATGCTGTATTTGAAACTGAATTAGACTCCATCTGGATATATCTTATGTCCCTATCTACAAATGTTTGACGAATAAAATGGATGTCATGCTCTATGGGTAGGTCTATGAGGATGCCATACAAGTTTTGCCTTCGGCCAAAATGTTCAAGCACTATGCAAAGTTTCTCATGGGTGCTGTAGCTCTTCTAGTAGGAGACAACGTGACTTCTCTAGACAATCAATCTGCTAGTTATGTTTCACGTCTTTTGGGCCTTTACCAAAAGGCTGATACAATCGGGTGCATGGATGAGGAACTTGCCTATGAGCATATTTCATTATATTTGCAACTTGGAAGAGTGGATGAAGCTCGGAAACTGGCACACAATCTTTGTTGTGGAAAATTTCCAAATTCAGCAAAGGTGCGGGTATTATGGGCCTCTATAGAAATGAAGCACTCGACAAGGGATCTTATTTCTTCGAGCAAAGATAAGCTGCTATCGATCTTTGAACTTGTAAAAGATGGTTTGACAAGACTGTCAATTTCAGAAGCTGAGAGCTTGTGGGTAATGGTATGTTATCCACACCTTTCAATTTGATGAACTCCGATATGACACTGTAATTACCAATTATCTTGATGAGACGCTTTAACATTATCTCCTATTGCAGGCCCTTAAATTCTTTGCCAGTCAAAAACATTATTTTGACATGTTGGTTGAGGTTGCTGTTGCATCGTTAATTAAATATCGTGGCAGTGACGAAGGATTTTCCCTCTCTTCTATTATTGTGAATTTTGTTCTTCAAAAAGATGGAATTGCGCATGCTAGAGTGATGTATAAGCGGTAGGCCATTTCATCCTTAATAACTCTTACATTATTATATTTCATCTTAGATTATGCAGTTTGCTTACGAAGAAGTGTCTATGTTTGCATCGATTGAATTGCAGCTTTACAGCTTTACCACGGCCTGGGCTAGTTCTATATAGGACCTGCATAGAATTGGAAACAAACCTTGCATCAAATGGTGATAAAACTGGTCTTGAAAATGCCCGGAAGTTGTATTTTTCTGCACTTCAGACTTATGACCAAGATTCGAGCTTGTGGCGAGATTACTGGCTTATGGAGACCAAGGTGAACTTTCCTCTGGCTTTATGCAAGTAACTCTAGAATCTAAAAAAACTACAACTTTCATTTTTAACAACAAAGCTACTTTTCTTTTTCCAAATTGTTGCATTGGACATTGGTTAAGCAAATGAATTGTGAACGGAACAATTATTGTTGTTCTACTTTGTAATCCGATATTAGAACTTGCTTAATCTACTAATAGCCGTAATTCTTTCCTCAAATTTACAGATGGGAACATCAAAGACAGCTTCTGAAGTATCTTGGCGTGCACGTAAGACTCTAAAGGACAGTAGTGCACTTTCTTTGGCACATTTGTGATATTAGTAATGCAAACTGCTCTTCAATTGTAACTTGTAAGCCTTTGAATTTAGATGTTTTTTTGGTCAATAGTTGTTGAATTTAGTTTAATAGACAGATAACTCCTACTTTTATCTGTGTCAACGGAATTGAGTAATAGTTACAAGTTCCGTTTTTACATTAAACTTGTTATTGCTTGAATGATTGTAGCAGTCCCTTCCCTTGCCTTGTGAATAATTACATTAAACTTGTTATTGTTTGAAGATGCACTAGATGAATATGCATCTTCATCGAAACCGTTGCTTCCATAGAACAGTCTCTGCTGTCTTCACACCACCTCAGGAGCTACCAGCTCCTCTGTTAAACCCAAAACCCTAGTTTTGAAAGGATGAACACCTCGAAGTCCAATGTTATCGAGAAACTGCGGAATATGATAGGCCGAATATGTAGCAGTTCGGGTGATGACAAGCCGGTTCCGACCAAATATTTTAGGGTTTGGCTTCAGCCAAAGGTTGCTCTCTGAGCTCCTCTCTTAGCACGCCAATGCGATCCTAGTGTGCTTCCTGAATCAAGCGTGAGCATTTCATCCACTGTACCACCCCACCGCGCAGAGAGTGCAACAAAATGTTTGACGAATTTTCACCCCAAGACGTGAAATTTACTCATTACTATTATACCGTATGTCATAAAATTTGAGCCCCGTCTTCGATTCTTATTATAACACGTGAAATTTAACAACATGCAGTGGCGTACTAATCACACTTTTTTTTTTTTCGTTTGAACAAACAATATTATCTCCACTAAAGAAAGGAATGTGAGCTTAGCCTCACAATAATATGGTTCAAATTCACCTTTGACGAAAATTGAACTTAAAGCCTCTCACTTGCAAATGAAGATGAATACCACTGGATCGTAGCGCTAATAACATTTAAAAATTCATAATTACATATAATGAACTAACTTTTTTACTAATAGACTTATAGTTGGACATGATTGGACTTACCTAAGTCTTATTTTGAGCCAGTAGTATTGGGCTTTATGTTGGACTGCTGTGCTATGACACAAATTATGGAATTTTGGGCCAAAATCCTCAATCTTCGCTCATTTTTTGTGAAGTATATTGGAAACTTGCCACGTCATAACATGCAAACAAGAATTGTCACATCACCTGCATCTTTTAAATGTCAAACTTTGGTGTCCATGCTAACTACTGAATATGATTATCTTCCCCTTCTCTTCTCATTTATTTGAATGATTACGATTAAGATACGTCAACATTTTATATTGATTTTTTTTATAAGGACAATAAGATAAAAAATAATATATAATAGGAAGGGAGGGAAGAGGATGAGAATAGGGAAGGAGAGAATCCTACTCTGCTAATAACAAACCTAAAAACATGTTAAATGTGGTTGGTACCTAATTGCAATCATTACCTACAGCAATGGGCGCCCATAAATTATACAAATATGTTGGCCGGCTGCCGTTGGGAACGGCTCTTTTATGCCTAACACTTCTTTGGATATATAGACCCTTATTCTGTATTGTAGCATGACTGCATGAGACTTGCCTACAATTCAAAATACTTATAAATATTACTGTCAATCTCGATATAATCACGTGATGTATTAATTCACGTGTATAATATGAGTAAATAATAAAATACAACAATAAACGCCCACAAATTTTACAAATAAGTTGGCGAGCCGGCCTTTGGATTTCCCTTTATGTTTAAGGATTATACAATAGATATTATCTAGTATAATAAAAAGTGACTTTTACGTTTTATTCTACTTGTCACATAATCATATGATGTCATAAACTTTAATACAATATCTGAAAACAACCCTACATCTTCTCATAAAAGAAGTAGTAACACTTTATGATGGTACCAACGAAAACTTCCTCTTAAGTTCGTCTAAAATATTCAATCTTACCCAAAACCAGAGAGAACCAGTTCATATATACTGTGACAGAGTCAGTGTCTGCCGATGGTATTGCTGCTGAGGACACTGACTCACTAATACAATAATTCAATAGTTCCAGTAAGCACTTAGCAGTCATTACAGTAGCAGCAATTGACTGAATTTTTTATTAAGTTGATTATCTTGACACAGAATTGCCATGAAAGGGATATAATGAAATCATGTCTGACGAGAAGAATAAAATAACTCATTCCGTGTACGTTTATATTTGTTTCTCAATTCTTCTATTTATTCGATCTAATAGTTATAAACGGAAAGAAAAATTCATAAAGTGAAAAATAGTGGGGGCATATATGGTTTAATATTTTAGTAGATAGATTTTTCAATTTTCATGTGTTTCGAGTTTAAAATTTTACTTCTTATCCTATTTTGGTATAAAAATATTAAAATCGAAAGCGCTTTCGATAAGTTTAGCCGAATTCCCTCTTCCTTAATGTAAAAATATATATGCACTAAAAATAATAATTATTATATTTGTTTTGAACTCACCTCTTCTTTCAATAATCTCTATTAATTAATGAAACTCTCTTTGTCAACCAAAAGAGGGTGAAAATGCTACTTAGTCTTCTATCACAAAAAAAAAATGATGGCCAATAATGTAATTTTATAGGTCTAAATTTTATTGTTTTTTATTGAAACATCACATACAGGTGATGTTAAAATACATCCAATATTTTAAAAAAAAATCAAAAACAAAAATCTCTCACTCCCCCCACGTCCTCTCTCTCCCTCTCTCCTTCTCATTTTCTAAAAAAATGTGTTCATACACACATAGTGTGTAGACAAATGTTAGTAAAAATTAAAAAAATAATGGAAAAGTTATTTAATACAAACACGCTGAATATAAAAGTAAAAATAATTAATGAATAAGAAGTCAAATTTGAAAATTTCCTAGTCAATTTAAACCTTCGTTTTCAATTTTGGCCCACCCACTTTATCGTTTTGATTAATTAAACACACGCAGAACGCCCCTTCGTTCTTATCTCCCAATTTCTTTATTTTGTATTTTATTGAACTTTCCATCGTGGGTTTTGAAAAGTCTAAACTCATCACCTTCATGTTCATATGGTATTCAACCACGTTCTTTCAGGGTCACCTTCTACAACACCATTTATATAAAATCCAAGCTTCCTCACATCACACCTACCTCCTCCTCTCTCTCACATTATTCGCCATCAAAATTTTTCTCTTCCCTCCTAAATCCGATTTCCGCAGAGAAATTTTTTTGGTCCTCCAACAGATATTTCAGTAGTTTTCGTATCACGTAAAAGTTGTGCAGAACATGAGGAAGACCAAGGTGAATAGCCAGAACAAGTTCATGAAAATCATCATGGTACCCATCAGAGTCCTGAGCAAGGCCAAAGACTTTTACGTCAGAAGCATGACGGACATGGGCGGCAGAGTGGCCTACAGTGGCGCAGTTGGAGGGCTTGGTGGTAATGTCACTCAAGGCTTGCCCAAGAGCTTCAGCGTTAGCTCAACTTCTTCTAGGTTAAGTGAAAATGGTGATGATTATTCAGAGCTTATTAGGGCTGCGTCAGCAAGGAACTACGGGGACAGGATCGACGTGAACATGATCCTGCAAGAGCAGATGAAACGATCAGCTACAACCACAACTATGCGATCGGGTATGGGACCGAAAAGGGTATTTAATAATCCGACTGTTTTGCCAAAATGTGGCAGCGTGGCCATGGGGAAGATTGATGAAGATGCACCTGCGGATTTTGATGAAGGTGCTGCTGGTGTCAAGGGTGACTTGTACCCTAGAAGCAAAAGCTATGCTGTTGGAAGGAGAAGTGCTTTTGCGTTTTGATTGTTGATCAAACGAATCCAATTAGGTTTCAGTTGGATTCAAGGCCTGCTGATATGTACCGTGAAGTCAACAAGTTATAAGAGGACGAACAATTCTATTGTGGTTTTGATTCAATTTCTTTGTGATTGAAAGTTGTGAAAGTGTACAAAATTAAGGTTTTGAATTTAGAATTGCTGTCAAGTTTGAAGCCGTTTTGTTTTGTATATATGCATTTTGTTTTCCTTTTTGTTCAACAATTGTTGTTATGAGATTTGAACTCGCCAATCTCTCTTTCAATGAAGTAAGGATATATATATGCAGAAGATTTTTTTGAGAACTAATTATTAAGAGAGTTCTAATGAAAAGGGATTCTCAAAAATTTTAATTAACCAAAAACTATCTACTAATTTTATTTAATAAAAAGGGCTTAAATTTTAATAAAAAGAATTCAAAATTTAATGATGTGGACGAAAATTTTACATAATTACAAAAAAAAAAAAAAAACCAACAAATAGTGACGCGCGGGATCACGTGTCACATCACACTCATATACACACTTTCTCTCACTCAACCGTTCAACTTCTTTCTCTCTCTCTCCCTATTTCTCATATTCCCATCAATTTTTCTCTATTCTTTCACCTCACTCATCCATATCAACTTTTTTTTTCACCTCTCCCCACCCTTCTCTCTCCTTTCACCTCATTCCATAAATAATTTATTTTTATTTTTATTTTTATTTTATTACTTGTTTATTTGACTATTCTTTCAATTTTTTTTAGAACAAACTAAGTAATAATATTACAAGATAAAAAATACAGAAAAAATTTATTATTCAGTTTTATGAACACTAATACTATCACTGTTTCTTATACAGAACATTAACTACTTCTTAAATTTGAACACTATTTCTTAAACTAAACATTGACTACTTCTTAAACCGAACACTATTTCTTAAACTAAACATTAACTACTTCTTAAACTGAATAATATTTCTTAAATTAAACACTAACTATTTCTTAAATGTAACACTAATACTATCACTACTTCTTAAACTGAATACTGACTATTTCGTAAACTGAACACTAACTATTTCTTAAATTGAACACTAGTACTATTACTATTTTGTAAACTAAACACTGACTATTTCTTAAACTGAACACCTTGTATACTAAACACTGATTATTTCTTAAACTTAGCACTAGTACTATCACTATTTCGAAAACTAAATAGACTATTTATTAAACCAAGTAATAGTACTATCACTATCACTATTTCGTAAACTAAGTGACACACCTCGACACAGATCAAGGCATGCTGGCCGTCACATGAGAGTGACGTAGCCATGTACACAGTTCGGAAGCAATAATGATAAGAAATATAAGAATAATTAAAAACCAAACTACTAGAGTGCACTACTAAACAAGAAGTGTTAGGAGTAAGATACATAAGTAAACACTCCTAATCAGAGCATAGAAAGTCTAGGTGCAGTCCAGTAGGACAAGTACTAATTATACAGTACCATAAGATGTCATACAATTATTTAGATAGGTCAGAACCGCCGAAATCCTGAAGGCCACCGACAACAACTGCAAACTTAACTAAAACCTGGAGGGGCGCAAAACTGAAAACGTGAGTGGGCAAAAACAAATGTTTTACAAAACCATTTCATTTATCAACATATATAACCCCTCGTTGTAAAACATGTATAATTTTTCCCAGAATCAAGATATAAGCATATACATAAATATATATGTAATCTATCACTTCAAATTATGCTTCACTTAATCATAATCATATGTATGCCATGCCAAGATATAACAGAGTAAGCAATTTCAGGTAAGAATAATTTCATAGAATTATAACATGTTAGCCAGAACCCCTGTGGTAGTCTGTACGGCTGAATTTATAGCTCAAAAGTCAATTAGTCACTACAATTACCTATACGGCAATATACTGCACATGAGTTGGAACCAAATGAAAAGGTCTGTACGATAATAATGGGTGTAATATAATCATGCTCACTACTACTCTCACATAATAGTTGGGCGATAAATCGCTAGTCACCTACGAGTCGGAACCATAAATAAGGTTTGTACGACAAGACTGTACACTTAAATTGGATCCAATATGAGCATATGGTGCGGGAGGTTACATAATAAACAGGCATGTGCCATAACTCTGGCTAAATCACAATCACCCTAAGTGCAGTTTTATGAGCTCAACATTATTCAGTCACATATTACATCATCGATGATTCACATAACCAAACATAACTTAGGCGAATTTTACCATTTAATTTAGGGTTATGTTTCCTATTTTATTTTATTATTATTTTTAGTTTCCTAGTGGGAATAAAGGACCTGTTTTTAGGGTTTTTGTGGGGGGGAGGGGGCTTAGCAGATATATTGCTTGGTCGTCTACAGTTTTTCACGACGCTTTATTTTATGCAATTTTGGAGACAGAGAGAATTGCTAGGGGTTTGGAGATTTTCTACTTGAAAGTGTTTTCAATCATTTTCTTAATAATATTTTCTATGATTTCAATTATGAATATGCGTAACTAATTTCTTTTGTTAGGGCGAAGCCTTGAGCCTTATCATGAATATGTGATTTTTATTTAATTGCTTATGATTGATTGCATGCATACTTTGAATTGTTAATCACCGAGATAAAAAATTATCTAATTGTCTTAATGCCTGATCACCATTAGGATCTTTAGAAAAGTAATTTGATCCAATTTTGGTCGGAAGGTTCCTGAAATTGACGCTGGCTTCATGTGATTAATAATTGTAATTTCACTTAGGATGAACACTACGTCTTAAGGGTTGCATGGTTTTTTCAAAGGGTTTTCATAAAACATAATTAGTCTTTCATATTCAGATTTGATCTGAACGTCCGGACGGGTTGCATGTTAAATATACGTTCTACGTTGGAGGTTCCAAGTAGAATATGAATTAGGAAAATCTAACCTTCAAAGTGGCATGTGTAGATCATGAGTAATTGGTAAAAGTTCATAGGATTGCTAGGTGATGGTGGAACCCTAGTGCTTTCTTAATTTGATTTCTCCCAAAACTGTTTTCTTTTCCCTCTAGTTTTAATATTGCAGATTGTTTATTTTAATTAATTAATTTCGTTTTTATTTTAAGCAGGTTATAAAATCAATAACCTCAATTTATACTTTACAATAATTAATTGGAATTTGGTTTGCTTTGAATTATTTAATAATCCCTGTGGAGAATGACCTTGTGAGATCCGTTTATACTACAACAACATTGTGATTCTTGCAAGTATAATAGGAGTTTTTACCCCGTTCACATGAGTAGTAAAATCCCTATCACTTGTCATCGGGATAAGTCTCACCTATATGCGAATTAACTATAAAAACGTTATTTTAGAGCACATACACAAAACTAGCTAATAACTTCTCATACATAGCTCAAATTGGGTATATGAATATATCACAGTGACCTACACAACCTCAGGATCATCCATAAATTTTTAGAATAATTTTTGGACCCCTCACGCGCCGCCACGCGCAGGCAAGGGCACATCCTTACGCGCCTTCACGCGCGGCCACGTGACAAGCATACTGACAGTGTCAGTCAACGCCGTTAGGAATATTCTAAGGAATATTCCGTTAAAACTCAACGGCAACTGTTAAAGATGACTGACGACGTTAGCATATTCCATCAACTTTGACGAAATATACTCCCTTCTTCTCCAGTGAGTCGCCGGTCGCCGACAACTTCGTCAGTTTCTGGGTAAAATTTTAAAACCACTATTCTCCTTCGTTTCTTCACCATTTTCCACAAAATTGGTAACAAAATGAAGCTAATAACATGTAGAATCACGTTATACGAGTTTCAAGGCTTAAAATCTACTAGGTTTTCCCCGAGAAAGCTCGATAGTTCGACTTACATAGATATACGTCGATCTCTACCCTCTGACGTCCAATTCCTTCCAACGAAGTACCCCGAGACTCATGAGGACCTCCTTAAGCTTCCTATAAGCTTCAAATTACCTGAAACACAAGGTTTTATGTGTGCATGAATAGTGCATAAAATCAGGGTTAGGGTTTATCGGGTTTTTCACGGTTTCAAGTCTTAAGAATAGTATAGATGTACTCAAGGGCTTGCAAGGAACAAGAATCTTACCTTTAGAATGTCGATTCATGCTTGAGTGTGAGCTTTGATGCTTGTCCGTACGTGAGGGAAAGAGAGAGAGAGTCCGAGAGATGGGAGAGCACGGGAAGGAGAGAGAGAAAAAAAAGGTGTGTGTGTGTGGTCCAAAAGTCACCAATCAAAACTAAGAGAAACACTTAGTTCTAATTGGGTCCAATAATAGAGGAATAATGCAAGTTTGAACCACCTTAACATGCATAACACACACCACAATACTCACGTCCAAGGGTATAACTGTCATTTCACATTGTCGAAAATTAAATATTCGGAACGGGCTGTGACACTAAGCACTGGTTATTTCTTAAACCAAACACTAGTATTATCACTATTTTGTAAACTAGTACTGTCACTATTTTGTAAACTAAACACTGACTATTTCTTAAACCAAAAACTAACTATTTCGTAAATTAAATACTTACTATTTCTTAAAATTGAACACCCATCACCGTTTTTTAAAATGAACGCCAACAATTTTATAAACTGAACACTAAAAGGTTCAAAATTTGAAGCTCTCTTCCCATTATCATATGAATCACTGGCAATAATATTTATATTCTTACAGAGTTAGAATAATGATTTTCACATTCCTATTTGTTCAACATTTCTTCGAACAATTTATTTGACTTTCCTTTAATTTATTCAATATAAAATTAACAACAAAAACATAAATGAAAGATCAGAAAAGCTAACGTGCTTTCATTGAGGATCATAATCTAATATTTTTTTATTTTTAGGTTTTAGCTGATTAGGGTTAAAATTAATAAAGAATTCCATAATTTGAACATAGGGTGATGATGAGATGCTACCCCACGTGTAAGGCTAAGTGGTAATCATGTATTGA